TATTTTTATTTTTATTTTTATTTTTATTTTTATTTTTATTTTTATTTTTATTTTTATTTTTATTTTTATTTTTATTTATTTTATTTTATTTTATTTTAATCCTTTATCTCTTTTCATCTTTTATCGTTTTTTTTCCTTTTTCCTTTTTTTTTTTTTTATAATAATATAAATTAATCTTTTTTGGTCTGATTTTCTGATCTTTTGATATTAACATATTTCCTTTTTAATAAAAATAGAAACTTGAACAAAAACGATTAGAGCACGAACGTCAACGAAACGAACAACGTAAAAGATTTGAAGCTCAGATGAAAATCCTCGAACTCCAACAACTCAAAGAAGAGCAAGATTTGCTCGAAAAACATCATGCGGGAGGGTGTTCGTCTGTCCAAAGCGCTAGTGCGCCAAATACTCCACCTTCTTTGACTTCAAATGACTCTCGCCCTCGATCAGATACAATGCTTCAATCTTCAATGGATACAAATATATCTAATCAGTTTGATTCAGTTCATTCCGAGTCATCTCATAATATACAACAGCGATCACACACATCATCTCGTTCTGTTCCAAATTCACGTCGTAATTCAAATGAAACCCCCGAAAAACCCTCATGGCCTGAAGTAGGAAAACTAAGCCTTGATTTAAAAGACGATAATTCTGAGAATGTTGAGTAAGTAATATATTATTCACAAAAAACTATTAATTTCTACATTCACAAAGAAGTTATTTATTCCTACTTTAACTATTAATTTTTTTTTATTTATCTATTATAGAAAAGATTTCATACGAGCATCGATTGGAAAAAGTACTTCAAACTTGCATAAAAATTCGGTTCGTTTATCTGATGCTACATCAGTTAACGCACCAAATAATGATGCTTCTCTTTTCCCTCAATTTAATGGAAATTTTTTACTCGATGATGATGGTGAAACCTCTGAGACAGGTTTGAACGGTACGATATCTATAAGTAAATTAAATAATTATTCAATAATTATTGTTTGTTCTAACTAGTTCTGTTCTTTTTATATAGCAAATCCGTCATTAGTGTCCTCATCATACGTCCGTAGGTACCTTCAAATGCACAGCGATGATGACAAATTTCCAATACTAGTTCGTCGCGATAGTTATCCTGGCATGGTTGGTTTATTTTTATTTTTATTTTTATTTTTATTTCATTCATATTATATTTATTAAATTTATTAACTATTTATTAACTACTTATTAATTTTATTTAACAACAGTTGTCCGCGTCTTCTGCTGCACTCGATCTTGCTTCTTTACGTCAAACACCTTCGCGTCATCGAGGATTAGATTCTATACTAAATTCAGATTGGGCATATGCTTATCAACATCAATCTGACGAATTATTAGCTGATTGCCCAACATCACGTGCTAATTTAGACAAGTTAGCTCCTTTATTCTCAGAAAACCAAGTCTCTGGTAAATCTACAGTGACTACCCCCACTGCTACTAGTTCTGCTTCAAATACTGGTTGTTCGAACGGATTTTCTTATATAAGTGATAGAAAAAAATTGGACAATATTGTGACTGAAAATTCATCAACTAAACAAAGGATACCCAAGCTTTCAACGTCGTTTTCTACTCCTGATTTAGCCAGTGCTACTCGTTTGTTTGGTCGTCGGTCGACTAACTTAAATGGTCAATCAGCGAGAGATTTATTCATTGATTCGGATAACCAAATGTCTCAAAATGTTCCATTACAAAACAATAATGATCTTACCGGTAATGGTATCTGTCGTTTTTTCCAACAAGGCTTTTGCTCATGGGGTGATCGATGTCAATACGCACATACACATACTTTTAACGGTATATCACCGGTAAACATGGGTCTTACTGCTCAAATGAGTGCTTATCCTGGTGTCATACCTCAAATGAATAATACTACTGCTTTCTATGGACAATATGGTATGACGGGTATCAGTGGAATTAACATGATACCAGGATCAAATGGTTTCGGTTATAATCAAAACTTTGCCTTAAATGCTGCACTCAATAACAATGCTAATGGTATGAGATCCATGATGCACGTTAACAACTTGACATTCTCTAAAACGAACCAAAAACGATTAAGTGGTGATCTTGAAGGTATTTTTATACTTTACCTACGCTAACTATGCTAGTAATTATTACTAACAATTATACTAACAAATGATGCTATGAAATAGTATTAATAATAATTTCATCTCTATATTTGTAGTCAACAGGTTTACCGGTGTTATGCTGGAAGATCTGGTTGGTGAGATATATTCTCTTTGCAAAGATCAACACGGTTGTAGGTATCTTCAAAAAAAACTTGAAGAAAAAAATGAACAATATATTGGTATGATTTTCAATGAAGTTTTTAGTCATTTTGTTGAACTAATGACAGGTTAGTAGTTATATTATTATTATTGTTATTATAGTAATAAAATAAAAATTTAACATTGTATATAATTGTTTTTAGATCCTTTTGGTAATTATCTTTGCCAAAAGCTTCTTGAATATTGTAACGATGATCAACGTACAATAATTATTGAGACTGTGGCACCAGAATTAGTAAACATTTCTCTAAACATGCACGGTACGCGCGCTGTTCAGAAAATGATTGAATTTCTGTCAACTCCAACACAGGTTGATATTTTATTTTTTGTATATCTTGTATATCATGTGAGTTTAAATTAAAATTACATTTAGTAATCATCTAATAAATTTTGATTTAGATTCGTATTGTTATTGTGGCTTTGAATCCTAATGTTGTTCCATTGATCAAAGACTTGAACGGAAACCATGTAATTCAAAAGTGTTTACACCGTTTGAGTCATGAGGAAAATCAAGTAAGTTTCTTGTTTTGATGTTTTTACTTTTTCATAAATTAGTAATATTTTACCACTATACTTTTTTTTTTTTTTATAGTTCATTTATAATGCTGTAAGCAAAAACTGTATTGAAGTTGCCACACATCGACACGGTTGTTGTGTACTTCAACGATGTATTGATCGTGCTAGTGAATCTCAAAAAATTCAACTAGTTACTGAAATTACGTTTAATGCACTCACCTTGGTACAAGTAAGTTTCTAATTTCTTGTAAAATTTTTAACTGATAATAAAAAAAACAATATGTTGTTATTTTACTCAAAATTGGTTGTAAATGTTTATATAGGATCCTTTTGGTAACTACGTTGTTCAATATGTCTTAGATCTTGGTGATAGTCGATTTACAGATGCTTTGATTCGTAAATTCATTGGTAATGTGTGCCTGTTGTCGGTACAAAAGTTTAGTTCCAATGTTATGGAAAAGGTATCGATATCTTTTGATTATGTTGAGATAAATTTTTTATCGGAACATTCATTAAATTATGCTTTTAAATGCCCTTATTGTATAGTGTATTAGAGTCGCAGAGCCTGAGACGAGAAAGTTTTTGATCGATGAAATGCTCAATAAAAATCGACTTGATAAGTTATTACGGGATTCTTATGCAAATTACGTTGTACAGACCTCTCTTGACTACGCTGATCCGATACAACGAGCTCAAGTATGTTTTAATTCCTAAATAACGTAATTAGCGTAACTGGCGTAACAATTTCTCAATTTAAATTTTAATAATTGCTTTATATCAAATAGTTGGTAGAATGTATTCGACCCCTTTTACCAGCTATTCGCAACACGCCATATGGTAAACGAATCCAGGGTAAACTTCATCGTGAGCAGATGCAAGCTTTAAACACCATCAACAGTCTTAACATGAACAATATGAACATGATCAGATTTCCATTTAATGGATTGGGCAATTTTGGAAATATGGGTATGATTGGTATCGGAGATTACGCACACAGTTACCATTATTTGTAAAAAAAAAAAAAAAAAATTTTTTTACATTTTTGAGGAAGATCGAGTCGAGTCATTTACTGTGTGTCCTATACTCCTCATATTTCCGCATGCCTTGTAATTTTCTTTGATTTAGACCTGCGTGGCGGAGAACGGTGTATCATACATTTTCTCTTGTTTATTCTATACTAAATATGTATTTTTTTGAACACCCTTGTGAAAAATAGCTTCTCATTCCCCACTGTAATGATAGTTATATATTATTCGTCACGCGAAATTAGAGTTTAGAACCGGGTTATAGTAAACCGGGTCGCCCGTGTCAAACGGTTCAACCGGGTCAAAAATTTACAACTCGGGTCAAAACGGTTGAATATGTAACCTCTAACAATCTGTTACTAATACACAGAAAACATAACAAAATTTAACACATTATAATTGTATTGTAAATAAACACCCTTTTTATCTTACTAATTTATCTAAATGTTCAATCCCGTTAATCTGGAGTTTAAAAAAAAAGTTACAAACTATACGGACTATCTATTGTTGCGAAAATTTTGTTAAAAATTTTCCTTTGTATAAACTTTCATTATCGTTATTATTTTCTTTGCTAATTTGTAATACTCTTCGACACGTTCGATAGTACCCCGGGAATTCGTAGCGCATGAATGACGTGATCGTCGATAACCCATAGAGGAGGATCACTAGACTAATAGCTGCTCGATACGTAAGTATCGAGGCAGCTTTTGTCTCGAATCATGTGCCATCCGATCGAACATATGCATGTTCGAGATCGGTTGACTGATAGAGTGATTACTCGAGGTAATTGGATCGTAGTATATTTAGCAAGTAAGTGGGAAAATAATGGCGAATCCGGGTTATATCGATCCCTCCCACCCTACCCGCGTTAGAACGACGCATAATTTTTGTGGCCTGCCGGGACGCAGTCATAAATAAGAGTAGGTAGTGGGATCTGTTAGGATTGTATGATGAAAACCGTTAATTGTGGCCTGTTGAGACGACAGTCACAAAATAATACAAAAGAAAATGAAAAATGAGAAAGAAAGAGCAAGTTCCACGATTCTATAAACATCTGCGTAGGTTGCAAGGGAAATACCAGTATGTTTCTTCATCGTAATAGTTTATCCCAAAATGAGAGACAAAACAAATAATAAAATAACCCGCTTCTGGAGTGCTCCGGAGTGGGTTATATGTTTTATTATTACAGCTATTTTCGATTAAGTTTGTGAATTCGGCATAATAGATCCAATAAGTATATAATATTTAGCAACGCATGTCAATATTTGTGTTATCCGGCAATTCATGATCATGATTCTTAAGTCGTGATTTGCTAATTGAGCTTTAATTCGAATAAACATGATAACGACAAAACACACCAAAGAAATAAATCTATGATCATAAGAGTTTGCCGGATCAAATTATAAAATCGTACAGTACGTATGCACGTGCGTACGTACGTACGTACGTACGTACTTAATTTTACATTATCATAACAGTTAACTAGTGCACTGGCACATATCAGAAACTTACATGTAAAAGATTACGCAAATTTCTAATATAAAAAGACAAATAATAACTGTTTTACAAATAATTTTAACATTGTAAATGTCGACAAGTTCAATATTATTAAATTTTCATTTGAATACTTGCTCAACACGTTTAGTGTGTTTAGCTTGTGCGGAAACATATATATATGTTGTTCGTCAAATTAGAATCTGCGTCAGATTAGAATCATTATAATTCCGCTAATACCTAACATAGGCACTCACCCTAACCCTAACAAAACTTCGCATTTAAATTTAATCTGATGCACGACATAAGAAAAGGTGGGGTATTATGGCGCGGGTGGGTATTATGACGCACTTGTGTTTTTTGATGATATACTGCGAACTACTGATCAGAATCAAAGAATATTAGTACCATTCAATTCGTCTTACTGAGACGAGTTGAATGGTAATAAATTCACTTTATTTGAAGCACAAGAATACAAGATATAATCAAAAAAACAAAGTTATTAATATTTTGGGTTCTGATCCCAACAAATTTGATTCGATGCAGATCTGATGTGATTAATTTAGTTAGTACAATAATTAATATGATTTTATTTTTAATCAACTCTTTCTGATGATCACTTGGTCAACAACAATCTACCGAACTACAGTCAGCAATATAGAAAAGCAATATAGTGGATACAACAATTTTTCTGGTTTTGTGTTAAGCAAACTTGTTGTCGACGAAGCCTATAATATGTGAAATACTGAGGAGCGGGCGTATAAGAATATTAGGTGGGTTTGTGCCTAAGTCAAGTTTTCTTTTCTTCGACGGACTCCTAAACATGTTTGGCATCCAAACTAGAAGGTTTATTCTAGGAACAAGTAGAGCAAGAGTCTCTGGGCAGGAATATTGAGTAGATACTAAGAAACTGGATTATACAACTATAAAACTTACAAAAAGAACCTCACATATTCTTGTTGACCCTTTACTTTTTTTTCAAGGAAAATTTTGTAAAAAAGTGGGCGATTTAGCTTACCCCCTCCAAAAGATCGACATATCATTTACTTACTAAATCGATCAGCATTGTTTACTTTTTTTTCCTGTCACAGCAAATATGTAGATACTTATAGAATATAGATATATGGATTATATGCCTCGGAAGTGGTAACCTGGACAAACAATGCTTCAAGACCAACTGTGCAAATTTCTGACTTCTCTATGGTGTCCGAAGCGTACTTTTGTTTATACTTTTACAGGAGTTTAAACAAAAGAAGCTGGAGAGCTTAAAGTGCTAGAGTGCTGTTAAGGTTTTCATTTAAATATACTAATTAGTTAAATTAGAGTAAAGACTAGTTTAGATAGTAGTATGTAATTTTTACAAAGCCCGACACAGGCTTATAATTATGACTGTCCAGTGTGAGTGAAAAATCTTATATTTTTCTTTTTTTTCATTTTTTTCTTTACTTCTTTCTCTTCTTGTTTATATCTTTTATCATATTTCTCTATATCTCTGTGTTTTTTTTTTCCTTTTTACTTCTCTACGAGAAGATGTCATCAGATTGGTGGTATCCTATTGTAGGACGGTGGATTGGATGAGCCCTCCAGTTAGGGTATTACTTAGATTTTACTTCACCGGTGCGGCAGGTCGCCAATGGGCACTTGTTAGAGCAGCTGTGGAATGTTAGGATCATAGGTTTAATGTTATAGCAATATATTTGTAATCATCCACAAGATTGAAGCTTTATTAAACATTGATCACTAGCGCGATCTTGCCTAAGTGAAAAAAAAATAAAATAAAATAAAAAAATTTTATTTAATTAATTTTGTAACAAAAGTCTAATATCAAGGAGACCAAGAATATTTCTATACAAATTAGACACTTCATTTCTATGCAAATTATGACAATTATGATAAAACTTTTGAAAACTAAAATTATAGTCTTCAATTATAAAAAAAAAACTCAACAAATTTGCATATTTTTAACTTTTTCATAATAAATCAATCTTTATTGAAACTACTATTATTCATGGTCTTATTGAATTTTCTATACATTGAAAACATGTACTTAATTTTTTAAAAAAACAAAATAACTTCATTAAAACAAGTAATAAAATCTTTGATTCAATCATATTGGCTAAGATGAGTGTAATAATTGTTAATTGACTTAATGATTGTGTCTATAATGATAAAACTTAAAAAGTATCATATAGTATTTTTAAATTATTTGTAAAGAAATAGAAGAACATAGTTTATCTATTCTTTAAATTTAGTCTTGTTATAAATATTTTGCATTAAATCATTGCAAAATTTTAAAATTAAATTATTTTTATCTTTGTCTTGTAAATCAAAACAGTACAAATTTTTAGTATTGAAGAGTTTTTGATGAAAAGTTATTCGATTTATATTAAGGGTAGGGTGTCTGTAGATCATTTTTAATAGTAATCATGTGGTATTAATATGAAATCATATGATTGACCAATTAGAATCGTAAAAACAACAAATTTGACCAATCAAAATCAGCAATTTTTATGCAACCTAAGTAAATTTGGGGCTATCTAAGTATTTTTATTAATATACGAAGTAGATTTTTTTTAAAAGATACAGTGTTTATAATTTTACTGTTATAAATTAGAAACCCCAAATTATA